AGTAAGCCTTGAATGTGGATTATGACTGGCAAATCCAAATATTCTGGAGTCAGATACAGAATTATTTGTCATCCCCCTAAAACAATGCTGGTGACTTAGAGTCTAGCTCCTGCTTCCTCTGTCTGGGACTTGAATGTAACTCCTGGTGAGTAGAAATCTGAATTCATTTGGTGACCGATTTTCCAAAGCTGGTGTGCCAAGATGAACCCACTTGAAAACTGTGGGCTTTCGGACTTGGCGACAAGACCAGTCCAGCTGAGGTGGGCTGGCCCGGCATCTGCTGCCTGCATTGTGCTTAATGCTGGACCCATCTGTTTTCTGTCAAAGCCAGTGCCAACAAATTACTAATCTATTAGAGAAACATGGAAATAAGATTGCACTTCTCATTCCTGGCTTTTCCTCTCATATTTTGCTTGGCTTACATATTTGGTTTTTGTTTATTTTGGGAAGAAAGATACGCTATCGAGTGGTTGGGGGGCATGAATCATTTTTTGCCCCATCCACGTCATTTTTAAGAGGGGGGAGCTCATGCTAATGGTGTTGTTGTGACTGTTGACGATGACGATCGGCCCCTGTCATTTGTTAGGCAGCTGTGTGCCTGGCACCAGACTAGTCACTTTCAACCTAGTCCCCATTATCATCATCACTTCACAGAAGACAGAGCCACAGCTCAGAGGGTTAAATAATTTGTCCAAGGTCATGCTGCCAGGAAGTGTCAGAGCCAGTGTTCAGACACAGATTCTGAAACCTGTGCTTTACCCATTGTGGCCTCTTAAGCCACCCTAGGCCTTTAGAGACCATTTTTAACCAGGCATGTGGGTTTAATGAGGAAAGTCTTTAAAGTTTCATGGAAAGGAAGACTTTGTACTTCTACCAGATAGAGGCTCTGTCATTAGAACGTATTCCCTTGACATGTGCTTTTGAGTGCCAATTCGTGGAATCAGCCCAACCAACTGGAGAAAAATAGATTGAGACCCCAGCACCAAGCGCCTTTCTGAGCACAGTGCATGCATGCATGTCTGGGCGTGCATGGCTGTGCTCTGATGCAGGGCTCCACCCGATCACAGACTGCTTCCTGCTTGAAGATGAAGACCAGCTGCTGAATTGGGCAAAGCTGTTGAAACACAGCTCTTCCAGCCACCACGAGTGGAGAGGTGGAAGTAGGGTACAGGGTAACTAAACATCTCAGTCATTTCTTTCCTTTGTGTTCATTAAAATATAGCCCTTGACTGCCAGTCAGTCCCCAGAAGTGGGAGTACTAGCCTTCCTCCATTCCAACTTTAAACAGAGTTCTACAAAATCAGGAACCTTCTTCATCTACTAAAACCACATTATGGGCATGGTTCAGAATAATTATGTCTAAATGCTTATTTTCTAAAACAAAATTAAAGTGTTATTTCATTTCCTTCGAAAGCAAAGGGCACATATGTTTTCACTGAAAAAGATTCTTACCAAATGAGTCACTTATCCAGTGTTGGGGTGGCAGCTAGCCCCAGAGTACTAGCATGAATATGAGAATTAATGACTCGTGCCTGCAAACTATGAATTAGTATATTTATTTTTAATAACAGCAAGAACCAAAAAGGAGCACTGTGTTTCACTGACCTTATCAGATAATCTGACAGTGAGGGGATGTGAGGTCAGGGAGGAGGAGTAGTTAGTTTTTCTCAAAGAGTCATGAGGCCCTGGGTTTGGGTGAACATGCAACAAGCCAGGCCCCTGCTCCCACCCCCAGCATGTGTCGAAGGTGCCTTTTGCGCTGCAAATGCATGACGGGAAAACAGACAGGGTAGCTTACGAGTGTCCCAAGGGATGAGCGATTCAGAAGCAACTTCAGAATGTTTTGTGGAGAATTTTGAAACTGACGAATAGTTTCAACTTTTTTCTTTTTTTCTTTTTTTTTAGCCTTTCACTTGAAAACAATGTAAGTTTGATGATTTCTGCAAACCCCAACTATGCAAAGGCAGTGAGGGCGTCTCCTGAGGGGACTATGGGAATTCAGGGAGCTGGCCCTGAAGGTCGACGGGCATGCAGAGGTGTCCGTGCTGCACCTCACCTGTTCCTGTCCTCTCTCCCCTGTGTCTTTCTCAGATTCTGCCACTGCCTCACTCTGATTATCCTCTTAAGCCTAGTTTCAGACTTCCAGATGGTGTCAGGGTTAAGGAAGCTACTGACTTTAACAGTTCTTGCTTTCTTTTGCTACAGTAGCAATGCTTGTCCCAAGATTAGTCTCTGTGCTCCCAAATTGTGGCCCACTCTAGCCACCGAGAAAGTTCTGTTGGAACACTACGACTCCCATCTAAGTAGGCATCTGGGGCTACAATGGCTATAAGTGAGTAATTGTGGTCGAGACTATTCAGCCTACAAAACTTAAAATATTTATTGTCTGACCTTTGACAGAAAACGTGTCCTATTCATGTCTTCATGCACATGACCTGCGCATCACCTGTAATTAGTAATACAGACCCTCAGACAATGGCAAGAGAAGATGCCTGACATGCACGTAGCAGAGAACAAGCTCTTAGTACATGTCAGAAAGTCGGTTTTAATTTCCTGCAGATTTGTGGGTGATAGAGCTTTATATGTGTGAATCTGAGAAAACCTGTTTTTACAGTTATAATATTGCTCCATGAGTATGCTTTTTCTTAAGTAGTTGAGAGGCCACATAGTAGAGTGTGACATGCGTGGATTCAGGTGCACATGGAGCTGCCTGGGTTTACACCTAGGCTCCCGCCATCCCTAGCCCTTTGGCCTGTGTGTGTTACCTCATACCCCAGTGCCTCAGGCCCCTTGTCTCCAGAGTAAAGATTGTATCATATGTACCTCTCAGGCTTGATGTGTGGATTAAGTGAGATAATACAAAGAATGTGGAACTGAGCTCAGCACATAGTAAGGAGTATTTGCTTTTATCGTAGTTATTAATCCAATCCTATTTCTACTAGAAATCCTGGAGAAGCTCCTCCTCATCTACAGGATAACCCCCAGCTTAGAAGCCTCCACAGGGCCCTGCAGGACCTAGCCTTTCTTCCCTACATGTCCTTTCTGCTCTTCTGCCTGAACTCCTGAACAACGAGGAAGCCCCTCCCATGTCCCCGTGATTGAGACACTTTACATACATTACATCGCTTAATCCTAGAAACACTCTTCACGTGGACAACATTCGAGAGGATTATCTTTGTTTTACAGAGAAGAGACTGGAATGAGGAAGGATGAAAGCAGGTTCCCTAAGGTTCTGAGGCAGCCCACGTGGCCACTGAGCTCTCAGGTCCAGAACGGCTAATTCGGAGGAGTCTCCACTAAACTCCCAGTCCCCACAGACTCATTCTCCTCTTTCTTGCACTTTTCACATTGCATGACTTTTTGTGTGTGCTGCTTTTGTGTTTTTCTTGTTTTTACCCCCTGCTGTTCTTCTGCATATACACACACATGCACACATGCTCACGTGGGTGGCTGTGAGCTTCTTCCGTGTAGGAATCAAGTTGTATTAAACTTTAGTCGGGGTCAGTGGCTCAGCCTGTAATCCTGCACTTTGGGAGACCAAGGCGAGTGAATTGCCTGAGCCCGCGGGTTTGAGACCCGCCTGGGCAGCTTGGCAAGACCTCATCTCTAAAATAAATCAAAAAATTAGCCGGGCGTGGTAGTGCACGCCTGTAGTTCCAGCTACCAGGAAGGCTGAGGCGGAAGGAAGGCTGAGCCGGAGCCCAGCAGGTCGAGGCTGTGGTGGCCGGGAGCAGCTACTGCACTCCAGTCTGGGCGACAGAGTGAGACTTCAACTCAAAAAAAACAAAACAAAAAAAGCCTTACATCCCCTGTGCTGAAACCGTTTCTGGGGTATAATAAGTATATAGTTATGTTACATGGGTGGGGAGAGTCTTCTAGAAAGAGGTAAGGACTGATTGAGAAACACGAGTCCATAGTCTACAAACACTTGCCTTTTACACTTATTTAATTTCAGCGATCATGTATAGGGAGGCAGCATGTTTTATTGGCTAAATACATGGGTTCCCAGAGTGGACATCATTCCTAATCTACTAGCTCTTGATTTTTCTCATTTGTGAATGGAGTCCTGGTGGAGTTCATGTGGTTAATGGGATAAACCAGTGAGCTCCTTGGTGCAAAGGACCTAACCAGGTATCTGGCACACACTATGGTTCAACAGTTAGCATCTGCAGTTACTGGTATTGAGGCAGTATAACTTATGCCTTTGATTTACTTGAATTCAGTTTATGTACATGCAATCAAAATAAAAGATGTGGGAGGAAGGGAAAGAAAACTATGGAGACAGCCGGTGCCATCCTGGGTGCCATGCCCTCTATGCGATAGGTGCAGGTGGGGCTCTTCACCTGTCTCCAGCCCTGTCTGCCTCCCCTCATGCCATTTCATGTCATCCAGTGCTGGGAACTTATAAGAAGTGGCAGCAAGCACAAACCAGCCACTTTATCTGGTGCTCAAGCAAAAAAAAAAAAATTGTTCCCAACATTGGAAGAAAACTGTGTGGGACTAATGTCAGGTTTCCCACATGACACCTTCCTGTGGGACTTTGAAGGATAATTTTGACCATCTGTGCGTTTTTTCTTACAAGCTGTCTTTTTGAGCCCTTTGTCGTAACTGTCGAATATAGCAGGGTGGAGTGGTGCAGTCTCAGAGTGGTCCTCACCATGTTGGTTAAAATACAAAAGTGTGAGGTGTTGAAGCAACACTCAGTGTCCCTTGCCTATTAACAGGATTTTGTTAATGATTTGCCTGAGTTTGTCTTCAGTCTTGCTGTGGTCATGGGGGGGCTCTTTGTCTCTGGGTCACTCTCAGGGGCCTTGAGAACATGCCGAGGGAGCGCATTCTGGGGCCTGCAACCTCTTTAGCACCGGCAGGAAGGGCGAGTAAGGATCATGCCTAATACTCTATGGTGATCACATTGTTGGACGAAAAGTATTTCCAGTGAATGTTGTCACACGTTTGAAGATTAAATAAAAGGCTTTAATTTGTGTTTGCTTTTTGTTTAGGTAACTACTCCAGACCCCCAACGTATAGTGGGGTGCCCAGTGCAAGCTACAGCGGCCCAGGGCCCGGTATGGGTATCAATGCCAACAACCAGATGCATGGACAAGGGCCAAGCCAGCCATGTGGTGCTATGCCCCTGGGACGAATGCCATCAGCTGGGATGCAGAACAGACCATTTCCTGGAAATATGAGCAGCATGACCCCCAGTTCTCCTGGCATGTCTCAGCAGGCAGGGCCAGGAATGGGGCCGCCAATGCCAACTGTGAACCGTAAGGCACAGGAGGCAGCTGCAGCAGTGATGCAGGCTGCTGCAAACTCAGCACAAAGCAGGTACGCCATCCAGGAAGATGCCCCGGGCAGGTATTCTGTGTGTTTACGTGTGACCACGTGACTGAGCACGTAGCTGCATCGCTCCCCGAGGTGACACAGAGCAGTTGAATGTCACTTTGCTTGGCCATTTCTTTTTGTGTTAAATATATTCTGTAACGTACAGGTCAGAAAAGTAAGTGACGGACCATGTTTTGTGATCCATCGAGGAAGGAATCTGAGCGGTGGGCACATCAGCTGTGGGAGGTGATTTGAAATGTCTGTGAACAGTCATTGCAACCAGCCAGCCAGATCCGCTTGCACAGGAAGTGTCTGTGCGGTTCCATTTTGAAACAATGAGTTTTAAACAGAAAATGCTAAAGCTTAAAAATTACTTAAAATATAAAACTTCGAAAAAGAAACATGCCCCCACCTTTTTTACCCTACCATAAGATTCTTCATAAGGTAGAAGCTTTGTATGTGTACATATGTGTATTGTGTGTTTGTCCAAATGTATATGTATGAGATTTATATACTTCATATTCTTATGTTATATTTTATTTTTCTGGGCTTACCTTTCTGTCTGTCCTAACCAAACTTCTGTGGTTAATAAAGCAAAGGTTGATATTTTGGAAAGTTTAAGCTGGTAGAGCAAGGCTTTAGCTTCAATTGCTTACTTGTTTTTAATCCTGATTTTTTTAAGATTGATTGTTAAAGTAAATACTTGACCTGTATAAAATAACATAATTAAAAATGTAGGAGGCAGAGGTTAATATGTTTTAAAGGAAGCACATGTAAATATGTTTTAAAACAAAGCACTTTGCAAGATAGATATCTAATGGTATCTTCAGAAGAAAAGATACAGGAGTCTGACATTTGTTAAAGGGAATTAAGAGCTTACGTGTGTGTGTATGTGTTTAAGTGTGTCCCTTTGTTACTTTTCCTCTGAAGCTGCTATTTGTGAATGTAGGGATCCCCCACCCTCGTTTTTTGCTCCAAATAATAATAAATTTCCCCTAAGGAATTAAAATGAAAATCAATCATTATCTTTCTCTCTCTGTGTCTCCACATTACAATTACTTAAACTCTTCTGAACCCAGCTGCATACCTCTCAGCCGAACCCACACAGGCTTTAGGGAATGTTTTAATAACCCTGTCTGTGAAGATTGGTTTGGCTGGTCCAATTGAAGTCCTAATTTCAGTTTAAATGAATTGTCCATTGTTGCAACTCATAGAACTCAAGTTATTTTCTTTTTGTTAAGTAGAAAGTATTTGATTGCTTTTGACATGCAGCCTTGGAGAGTGATATGAAAAGATGGCCAGAGAGTCAGGCATGATGCTGTCTGGTTAAAAAGTCTTATGTGCCCCTTTCTGAATCAGCTTATGTATCGTTTATGGAAATCAATAGAGAAATACACATCCATACATTTTCATTTTCTGTTTCCAATGAGTAGACCATTCCTAAGCCTTGCTTTCACATACTGCCCATTTTAGCTCTCCAGGAGTTTAAATGGGGGCTGTATATTTTATTTTTGCTTTTCCTAAAGTCAGAGCTATACTTTAACTGTAGAGGAAATTAGAGTTGTAAACTTTAAGCGGAGATTAGAGCTGAGAAGCGTATTTTTCTCTCTCCTTTTGCCCTGTCTCCACCTTTTTCTTTAAGGGATTTTATCCAGTTCCACCCTAGGCAACTGCATGGTACAGAGTAATCTGCTAGGTTAGCACTTCTGTAGCCCACACCTATATGTGGAAGTGACGGATGGACAGGGATTCATACTTGTGCTTCAGAACAAATCCAAAGAAGCTGTTCTTCTGTTCCACTTTAGGCCACCATACATTAGGTCGCCTGCTTATCCCAGCCAGTCTGGGGCTGGCGGACGCCCCATGTTTTCTTCCCAGCACCCCAACTATGGCAACTCTCAGGCTCCCATGATGCACCAGCCTGACCAGTACGGGTAGGTAGCAACACCCTGGACTTGCTGCGGGACCTGGGCATTTTCTTTTAAACTGTTAACGAACATGCCATCTGGCTGCGAATAGAACCCCCAAGCCCAGAAAGTGAAAGACCTAACAGGAAATCCTCCTTTCAGGGGTCGTCCTTTTGTCCATTTTTGTTTGTTTCGTTTGTTTCGTTTTTCTTTCCTATTAACAGTACTGTGGCTGTTTGGTGAAAACCTGCATGCCGTCCTCCGGGTCCTGTCTGTGCATGGCTTTTGGCATGGCTGCTTCCCTACATGCCTGAGAGGGAAAAAACACTTTTAATTGCGTAAAAGAAATGAAGTCACCTACTCTGGCGTCATTTCCCATGGTTGTCGTTGTTTTGTCTAGGGACCTGTATTGTGCAGCACTGTTCTCATGACTGATGATCATTCCTGCCACTGCAGTGAACTGCTGCCATATCCACCCCCAAATTCGTAGCACAATATCTCATTTGACAAGAGTCACTGCAGTGGTGCTGACCCGGGCTATTCATAGGACTTAGGAGGGTTCATTATGTCATCACTGAGCAAACGTCTATGCCAATGAGTTCTAGTATTTCCTTCTCCCAGTGAGTATTAGGATATTGAAGTCACCAGGAAAATACAACACAGAATTTTCTTTCTGAACACAGTGTTGCCATATTATTATCAATTTCAACACAGGAATTACATATAGCAACAAAAAATCTCTCTTCTTTCCCATTACAAAACTATATAATGTCAGGCTCTGTCACCATTTTTAGGTTGGTAAATGTTCTTAAAGTATATTGTTATTGAGTGAATTACTAAGAAAAATCGTGTTGATATCATTTTGCATATATTAACAAGAAGATTATCCTGTACAAATTCAGTCATATTTGGTAGTTTCAGTAGAGACATACCTTGTCTTTCGATAGAATAAAATAGAGAACTGTCACCTAGCTTTGTTTAAATAGTAACTTACAGAATGAGCTTTCACTGCTTGTTATAAATGCAGGACATCGAGAGCTTTTTAATATTAATAGTTTTATATTCCACTTATATTTATCTATGCCGAGCAATTGGTAATTTTGTAGTTGAGAGTTCAAAAGTCTGTAAACATGGTCCTAAATGTGAATCAACAAATAGTGAATCCTAAAAACATAATCCTCAAAGGGAAATAGCAAATACAGAATGAGATGAGCATGCTTACTCTTGGGAAATTGTCTTTTCCTCTTTGTTACTTTCTTGTGGTGCCTTCAAGGTCAGTTCATGAGTCAGTAGGAAGATAACAGTGGGGGAGAAGAGCATTTCTCATCAGCTGCTGATCCATAGGATCTGTCCTCCACCAGCTTGGAGTTCTATTTAGACCCACAAAGCTGGTGTGGCTGGGCCTTGCCAAGCCACATTAAGCAGCTGTGTAAAATGAATTTAAATGGCATGCATCAGAGTAAAATCTCTTCCACTGGGGCAGAAAATCAATGTTAGCTAACCAGCACAAGGAGATCGAATCTGTATTTCAGCCAGCAGCTTCCAGATAGCTTCCTTAGAAGACAACACCTCCTCCTTAATTAAAAATAAAAAAGAGAAAAATGTTGGCGTTCTTCTGCGTAAATCTCATAAAGCACACTTGGCAAAGGCTCATCCTTGCAGCCCCGTGCCTGTTAGCTGTGAATTTTAACTGTATGTCTACACTGTTCTTTCTAAAAAAGAAAGAAGATAAGTTTTATTTCTATTTTAAATCTTCCTTCTGTTCCACTGTGCAATACACATAACCTGTTGTGCCTTTTTTTAAAAGCAGAAACTTGAATATGAGAAAACATGGATATTACATGTTTTAGTGCTATGGATTGAGACATTTGATTTCAACATGCTTTTGCTTTACTTATTTAACAGCTCATTGCGGCGAGCTCCTGTTTTTGCTTTAGTTTTTGTTTTCTTCCTCCACTGATAGCTCTGTCAGGCTAAAGTAAGGTTGCCAGTTTGAAAGCTGGTTTGCTAAATGTCAATTTCTCTTTTGGAAAGGAAGAAATGGCATGGTACAGGCCTTTCAGGAACACGGTACTCACACTTTGTCAGAGTGACTTCTTTCTCTATCAGAATCCCATAGGGCCTAGGGCCTGGGGGAGAATCTGAAAAGACAAATCAGCGATGAAGGTGGAGAGTGAGTGGGGGTGTGTGTCTGTAATTAGACAAACACAGAATGTTCATGGAAGAAGGAGGGATTGTGGCAATTATGCTTCTCAGCTAGTTCTGCTCAGCTGGTGGAATATCAGAGTATAGAGAAAAAGCATGCACGTTTAACTGGTCGGAAGCCCTTTTCTTCATTCTGTGAGAGTGACACTAGGAGGGTAAAATTTACCTGCTGCATTGACTAAATTAAGGGACATATGGGGTTTTTTCTTCCTTTTTCACCTTTCATTTTGGTTATTAGAGCATTTACAACAGAATGTGGTGAATCTTGTCCTTGAGGTGCTAGATCCAGTGTGTAGCGATACCCCACCATTTTAAGTGAGTGATTTGTAAGTGATGTCTGTATAGAACCTCCACTCCATGCTCACTAATACACTTTTTATCGGAAAATGCATTGCTGTGTTCTGTTTTAAAGCATTGCTAGTTAATGAGATATTCTTTTGCAGATGTGAGGAACAGAGAATTGGAAATACTAACTGGTCTTACTAAAAGCCTGCTTCAGGGGTGGCAGGTGAGTTCTGTTTTCAGGCTGAGTCTCATGGCTGCTACAGCATCATGCTGGAAGACTCCAAGCCATTGTCTGAGTGTAGGAGAGCCATGTCTGCCAGCAACTTGGGAGAAACTGTGCCCTGCTGCTTCCTAAAGAGCATTGCCACAGATCCCAGGGTGCGGCATGGTCTTTAACATTTTTTGAAAGCTGAATCCATGATGTTTAAAGCACGTACGTGCATACATCCACAGGTAAAATTACTTGCCCTGGGTAACCTAGTGCCTTATACCCATTCGTTAATTCTGGGTGGCACCTGGTCATGTCCAAGAATTGACATCTCTACCAAATACAACTGATTTGTAGATTTGGAAATTTCAGAATTCTTCAGATTTTTTTTTTTTAATGAGCTCCAAGGAGGAGGCATGGCTTCACTAAATTTATGTAAGATCTAACAAGCCTTAGATATTAAGTCAGGATGGATTGACAGATTTTAATTCCATAAGGCCTGCCACCACTGCGCCTCACATGTATAAACTTTGATCAAGTCTTAAATGTCTTGAGATTGTTTGTGTCAAAGTTCTAACACAGATCTTTAAGATAATACTATTTTCATAAGAGTTTCCATGAAGATGCAGAATTTCAATTATAGAACAATAAAATCGTAGAGTTAGGAAGTTTTTAGACATTGTCCAGTTTCTGCTCCTTGACTTTATGGTGCAGTCAACTAAGATCTACAACATTGCCCACTCAGGATCAGAGTCTGAGGCAGGGTCCCTGTCATCTGGTCTTGTTCCTCTTCCTTCTATTTGGTGCTGTCCCTAAAGTAGATTTTCCTCTAAGAACAGAAAACTCTTCATTTTTGTTCTCTGTCATGTCTACAAACAATCCTACTAGAAACAAAGTTGTAATGAGTGTCTTAGTAGAGATCCTACCTCTTACACTGAGGTATGGGCTATTTTTTATCATCTATGGTTGATTGCCTCCTTTGTACCTGAAGGGAGATGCATGCTTTGCACGTTCCCATATGGACTGCATGGATAGACTTTTCTGGAGCCACACACCCTGTGAGAGAAGTAACAGTTACTTGGGGCACACAGCTTTGAGTTTCTGTCCTGTTCACCCTTTGATGCCATACCAACACTGCTTTGGCTTTTAGCATTGTTGTGACTGGAGTGTGGCTGTTGAAGTAAGAATTCTGAATGGTGGAGGAGTTGAAACAGAAGGCAGCATAATTTACACAGATGGATGTGTAGACCTGAGTGGCGCTGGGAGATATGCTGTTGTTTGTTTGTCCTGAGAGAGTCCCCAGTGGACTGGCTGAACATCACAAAGAGAAGTCTCAGACTTCACAGTGTTTTTTTAATGAGAAAAATTAATTAATTTGAAAACTCCCAGTATTAACATGAAGGAAATTTTTATACTAAATAATACAATTGTGATTCTATAGACCTGCATTTTAATAGTATGGCATACCGGAAACTGGGGTCACTGAAATTAGTTTTAAAATGTTTTGTGTTGAGTCCTTTAGGAAATTGGAGATTTTGATCAAGATTATTTTTGAACCTTAGTCATTCGTTAACAGTGAATAGGCCAGGCTCAGTGGCTCAGCCTGTAATCCCAGCACTTTGGGAGGCCAAGGCAAGTGGATTGCCTGAGCCCGCAGGTTTGAGACCAGCCCAGGCAACTTGGCAAGACCTTGTCCCTACAATAAATAAAAAAATTAGCCGGGCATGGTAGCGCGCGCCTGTAGTTCTGGCTTCTTGGAATGCTGAGGCAGAAGGATCGCTGGAGCCCAGCAGGTCGACACTTGGATAGCCGTGAGCGTGCCTCTGCACTCCAACCTGGGCGACAGAGTGAGACTCCAGTGCAAAAAAAAGCAGTGAATAAATCCCATGAAGTCTTAACTAGAAGGCAGCTAGGTCAATATGAAAAATGTAACTGCATTGATCCTGAGGTAGGTGTATGTTTTGTGAGAGAATGTGGCCTGCAGTCTTCCTCTGCTCAGAAGAAGCTGAGTCTATTTAAATACAAATGAATTGACCTGTCTTGTTGGGTGCACGTAGTGGCTTGTGTCTGTGCCTCATGTATGTCTCAAGGAGACACACCTTCCAGCCATGGCTATTTACTAAGGTGTATTTATAATTCATATCCTTTGCTGCTGTTTGCCAGCAAGGCACTTTTTCTGTGTTATTGTCCTCTGAAGCCAGTATGATGCGATTCTGCTGATGGACTAAGAGCCACCGATGTGGAAATACATTAATGGAGATAGTGCATTAAAATGTCAAAGAGAAGGGGCAAAAAACTTCTAAATGTGTCAAGCCCTGGTTCTGGTGGG